ATAATCGTGATATTAAACCAACGACCTCTTACGCGCAGCACACTTATCCTTTCATTAACTGGGGTGAAGTTTATTACTGACTTCCTTGTGGCAGGATTAACTATAAATCCAGTGCCAGCTGTCCCATTTTTGTCGTTTCTCCCGGTGTAGAACAGTGTGTAGCCGTCTATAGTGGTTTCCCCACCATCTGGCCACCTTACCTCTTGAATGGCTGTTAACGGTATGTTGTACCTTTTTACTTCATTAACTACTGTTTGGGCAGCTCCTGGTCTGTATAAGCTCCGAATGATCTGATATGGAGTCTGTTATACAAAGTCGGAGTCGTTACCATATTAGGACAGTCAGATTTTCCGAGGCCGGTTTTTAGTTTCTTAATATGGTGTTTTTGACGGAATAGGATTATTAGCCCTATGCCCAACCCCCAACCTGGAGGACCAGGAGCTATGTCTACCACAGGGTCACTCACCTCCCTGTGGTCTGAGTTGCCTCCACTAGGCTGATGGGTCTCACATAGCCGAGGGGGGGGATGAATCTCGGGCAGCCTGTCTTTCCGTGGTGGAAGGTCATCCAAAGCGGGCGGTCACCCATCCAAGTACTGACCACGCTCAATGTTGCTTAACTTTGATTACCTATTGCAAGCGCCTTAGCCCGTACTGTTACCCGGGCCCCTATATATATAGTTTCATGACTTGAAAGTCAGAGTGCATTGCCAGCACTTCATTCTTGTCAATCATTTTAACAAACAGCCTGCCTTGTCCCTGGTAAATCATGGATTTGTATCTTGTTCCTAACTTAGCAAGTCTGCATACAGTATACAGGCTGCTCCAGAGAAGAAGGTCCAAGCTGTTAATGCTGACTTATTTTTTAAAGACTCGAGTATTGAATAAACTCCAAGTGGCAGATTGTTTCACGTGTATTTATTACAATCTAGAAGTGATGAATCTGACTTCTTTCCTTTCTAAGGCTTTCACCATAGTATCATAAGGATTACGGTCAAAGGTATCTTCTGTATCAACAAAAATGCCTATCACAATTTCTTTTTGAGTTAAACTTTTCTCAATTCTGGAGACCAGGTGGATAATTATTGTTTAGAAGCCTTAAAGTATTTTTTTACTATCTCTCTTCCTGGTGTATTAGTTGTTCAATAAAGTTAAGTCAGTCTTAATCAAACTTTGTACTCTGATAGTCCAGTCAATGAATGATTATAGAAGGAAATGGTGAGGAAACAATTAATGACTTTGGAGCACTGTTTGGACTAGTAAGGAGGTAAACATATCAAGGTCTCCACTCCTAGGTGGTGACCTAGATGTGAGGGGGTGCCTAGAAGGCCACTTTTTTCGGGTTTTTGCTTATATCAGGAAAACTATTCATCGCATTGACAAAGACATTCTATACAAAATTAAAGCTGATAAAATTTTCAATTTGATTGGTTATATACCATTTTTCGTTACCTCGCTTAATTTCCGAGATATCCATCTTCAACTATTTCAAATTTGGCTAATTAAAAATGTTGCCTCATGTTTTTTACTGTATTTGACCAGCTAACTCTTGATTGCTTTCTTTCTACAATTAAATTATAGGAAAGAAAGTTTTAAATAATTAAATTGTCTTCAAGAATATGTATTATTTTACTATATATTAGTTTATCTCCAACGATTCAAAAGGTAAATCAATTATAACTTTATATGTCAATTCCGAGAATTTGCAGCAAAAGTAATTTTCATAATATTCATGTTATATATATATATATATATATATATATATATATATATATATATATATATATATATGAGTACCTACATAGAAATTTAGATGTATAGAGAGTTAGAGCAATATAATAACGTATATCATAAAAATTATTTTTTTCTGCAAATTCTCGGAATTGACATATAAAGTTATAACTGATCTAACTTTTGAATCGTTGGAGATAAACTAATATATAGTAAAATAATATATATTCTTGAAGAAAATTTAATTATTTAAAACTTTCTTTCCCATAACTTAATCGTAGAACGAAGCAATCAAGAGTTAGCTGGTCAAATACAGTAAAAAACATGAGGCAACATTTTTTTTTTTAAATTAGCCATAGTTGAGGATAGATATTTCGAAAATTAAGCAAGGTAACAAAAAAAAATATTGCAAACAAGCCATATTATGTAATCAAACAAAAACTAAATGTCTTCTATAAATGAAATAATTATAACAACTGTGCAGTAAGTTTTAGGATGTAGTAACTGCAATTCTCGTATCATCCTTGTTGCAGCCAATATGAAATAGTTTTTTGTTTTAATTTTAATTTTTGTGACCATATAATAATATGGGAGTTAATTTTATTTTGTTTATATAACATAGATTATTTATTTTATTATGTTTTATGTCCATATCATTATATGGTAAACCTTTATTTGTATATAATTTTGTATCATTGTATACATATCCGAGACGTCCCAGCGACGATGTTTTCGGCCACTTCCGCAGACTCTCCGCCTCTCGTCATGTCACATGACACAAGAGGCAAAAAGAAAACATTAGGACACAGTATGGCTGCTGGTAGCAATGTGTTCAGAACTACCTCCATGAGGTTCTTCATTCCGTCACCATTCCACCTGGAAAAACCCATGGTTTCATCTCACCAGACTGTGACGGTGGCTTCCCACATCTGGGACATAGTTATCCTCCACCAAGACTCCCGTCAGTTGCACCACAGTGACGTTAAAACAAATAATATGACTGGCCGGCTGGAGGTGATTTGTTTATTTCCATTAAGAACATTTAAAGGTGAGTGGTGCTCCTTTAAAAGACATTTTATGAACCCCTGAGTGTTCAGTTGAATAGGACCTCACATTGAGGCTGGACTTCAACTTGAATACTAGTTCATTTTGCGTTATCACAAATGCACTGAGTAGCATCAGAATAGCACTGAATAGTGTAGTGGCTAGGAGCCTTGTCTGTAATGGTGAAGGTTCCCGGTTCAAGTTTGGTTCCACTGTACTCCTTTTTTTTCTTTTTATTATATAAAAATATTAATTTAAATATATATGCATTGATACAAATTTTTCTGTACCATTTTTAATCATTCAATTAATTTAACATTTAAATTAAATTAACTTTTATTAAATAATAATAATTAATTAAATCACATTAATAGAATTTTTAAATTTAATGTTAAGGTTGTTTTCTTTCATGCTTAATGTTAGAGCCACAGCGTTATTTTATTTTATTATTATTTTAAACAATAATCTGGTTAATTGTTATTTTGGTTTTTCTCATAAAAATAAACCAATTAATAATTATATATATATATTCAAAGCCCCATAGCTTATCTTGTTTATATTCAATATAATGGTCAATAGTTTATACTTAGATTGTAATGGATTGTAGCCCTAACAATAAACAAGTCTATATCTAGCTATAAACAAGTCCTAGGTTCAAGTCCCAAGCCCATAGACTTCGCAATACAAAGTCTGACTCCGTCCGTCACAGAGCTCAGTGCTGCTCACTGCAGTCCACCTTTGAAGAAGACGTATTTCTCTCTCTTGAGCCACACTTGCCGCTGTAGTTCGATTAGAGCACTTAATGAATCTACATCAAGTCGCTATATAAAGATTGGAATGCCAGCGGTTTGTCCACCATTACGAACGTCCTGCTTGTGTCCACGTAGCGTTGTACCAATTTATTTTATTTTATTTTTTATTTTGTATAAATTTTAACATTGGGACAGTCGTATCAATTCTGTTTGTTTTATATGTTTTGTTTTAGTAGGCTATCATCATTTTTTTATTATTAATTATTTCTTAAATATTAAGCATATTATTGTTTTCATTCATATAGAAGTTATTATTTTATTTCTAGGAACAAGTTTAAAATTGATTTTTTTTTTTTCATTATTAATATGTGTAAATGTTTTAAAATAAATGTTCAAGCTATAATATATAACAATAGTCCACTTTCTTCTAAATTACAATTGACTTAATTCAAATCATAGTTAGGCTTCATTAGAAGTTTGATTTAAACTAAGAGGACACTTAACATAATTTTGTTTCTTTCATTATTTTATTATTATTTTGTTCTAGGAGAAATATTTTAATTCATTCATTTATTTTGTATCATGTATTATTTCATTTATTATTTTTCTCAATATGTAGAATTACTGCTATTCTCCATTTCATTAAATAAATATTTATCCTCACGGATTTTATAATTTTAACATTCTAAAATTAATTAATTAATAAGTCTACAGTGCATATGGATTAGATTGTGCTGAATTGGCTGTTCACATTTGAACGCCCGCTGCCGCCACAATCCTGATAAAAAAGAAAATTAATTTATTGTTTCGCACTGACATTGATATTTGTGAAAAGTGAAAATTTGGACGCCATCAAAAACATGAATGCACAAATGTGACTGAAATTTTGATGTCTCATTTGATGGAAGTGTAAATAAATTATAATCAATCCATTGTTTTGTTAAAAAAAAACGTTTTATGCATTTTAATATTAAACAAGATCCAACTTCAGGATTCTAGCTTTTATTTCTTATCATCATTATTGTTATAGAAAATCTTTCATATAATATGAAACAAATATTAATGAAACAAAAGTTAATCTAAATAGGAGCACCCACTAATTGATTGTTAATTACTGTCTAATTCCTCTAATTATCTTTTAACTTAAACTAAGATATTATTATCTTACATATCCTGTAAATTAGTTTCTTTTTGATACAATGGTCAAGTGGTCTCCCTTGTTTATCTCATTTTAGTTTTAAAATTTAAAATTGTCCCATTTTATATTTTTGAAGGATCCCATTTATTTTCTCTCTGAATGTTATTTTAATCAATTCTGTGATTTATCAATTTTTGACTATGTCCTACGATTCATTAAAATAATCTTAAATAAAAATTGTACTAACTAATATACATTAAGTGTAAATAGTGTTGTGTATTTTTACTAAGTTGTAATTCATTATTTATTTATTTTTATTCATTAAATTATTTTCAGGATGTGGAAAGCATGTTTTTTCAATCAGTTCGTCATCATTTACAAAGCAAAGTAGCAAGAAGTCGACATTTGAAATTATCCAGTTCTTCACCATTAACAAAGAGAAAGAAACCTCTTGAAAAATCTGTTGGAAATCTTATTGTTAATGAATGGGACATTGAAGAAGAAGACAACACAGATAAGGCAACTGTTGTTAGGAATAGTCGTAGATCTACCCCTACTGTCAAACAACTTAAAAAGCAAACTGTGAACTATGGAAAATTAAGATATGACCAATCACAATCAAGAGGAAAACAAAATGTAGGAGAAAGAAGTATGAAATCCTCCATGAGAAAAGACAAAGCACAGTCTGCTAAAAAACGAAATGAACGATTTGAAAAAAGAGTTGCTTCTGCTAAAGGTAACACTTCTTAAGAAAGAAATATTTATTAAGCACTACTGCCTAAATCCTTAAGGTGTCTTCATCATACTAATCAATCACATTTGATAAGTAAAATAACAAATTTTGTATTATCTGTTTGTTTGATTATAGTATTGAGTCTGTTACCATCTTTATTTAGTGATTTTTAGAATTATTTAGACCTTTATTGGCATTTATTATTTTTTATTATTTTTTTAACCCCTCTTGACTTCTGCCATTAATTTTATAGCAGCATTGGAGCTGTTCTAGGCGATAGCTGTGATCTTTTAGTTCTCTTATATGGATATCTATAGCTATATATAGCTGTGATCTTTTAGTTCTCTTATATGGATATCCAGTTTATAATAACTGGACACAATTACAAATCACTCCCTCTTCATCAAGATTGGTTGGCAATCTTTTGCAGACATCTCTATCTTCTTTTTTGTTTTTTTTAATGGATAGGATTAATAGCCCTGGGCCCGATCCTCAATCTGGAGTACCAAGGAGCTGTGTTGTCAGACACAGGGGTCGCTCACCTTCCTGTGAATCTCAGTGTGTGGACGTTATCGTCCCCATACCGTCCACCGTAGTGGTCTAAGCAATCTAATAGGGACTGCACTTATTTATTTTAATTTATTATCAATTATTTATATTTTTTATGTTATTAAATCCTGCGAATGAGATTTAAACTCGTAGCATAAAATTTTTGCAGGTGTTTTAACTCGCTAGACCACCGTGGTTGCATTATTAGATCAATGCTACCTGTTAATAGCTATAATTTGGAATTAAATTAATCTATTTAAATAATGGAACACATATTATAATATAGCTAACAATAGTGTCTTGAACTTGTTCAGTTTCTATGCATAATGAGATCTTCAGTTAAATCATAAAATTATTCATTAATAATCTTCATTCAGTGTTTTTTTTTCTTTCCTTTTTGGTTTTTATTTCTGCATATATGTGGCCTTGATTTTTCTGCACTGATGATGCCTGAATTGGCGAAATATATAAAGTTAACTTTTCACTTGTATGTTGGGGGACTCATGGCTTTGTTGTTTGAATTTTTCCATTTATATAATGGACACAATAGACCCTCTATTGGAAAATGGCCCTTATTTAGAAAAAAATCAGTAATTTACTAAAAATCGAAACTTTATTAATTTGAAATTGAAAAGGTTGAATTTGAATTGGAAAAAGTTTAATTTGATTTGGAAAAGGTTGAAATTGACTTGGAAATGCTATGTATTCCTTCGAGCTTTTTTGTTTTATTTTTTTGACACATTTTGTATTATTTTATTTTAGTTTTACTTATTTTTTCCCTTATATCACCTCTAATCAGCTTTTCAATATAACCTTCCTTAGTTGTTGTTAATAGAACCTTGTCTTTCCTTTAGTGTGTATTTGGATGGCTTCATGAGATATTTATTGCAATATGTTTTTTTCTTTCCTTTTTGCATATATGTGATCTTAGTTTTTCTGCCTTGATGATGCCTGAATTGGCGAAACGTTGGCAAATTAACTTTTCACTTGTATGTTGGAGACTCATCTCATGGCTTTGTTGTTTGGATTTTTCCATTTATAACATAATCATCTTATGTCCCTTTTCTAGTTTTATGCTTATTTTAGTAATAAATAATAAATTTATGGAGAGGGAAGAGTTCACACCATTAACTTTAGTTATTATTTTGTTTTTATTCATGAAAACAAGGCGTGTTAAGTGCTCATTGCTTAAAATCAAGGATATACAAGATCTGTGAATTGTAGCTCCTTCTTTCTCGTAGAATGAATCTTTTTGTCCAATCAGGAAGGTGCTGAGAAATATTCTTTTAGTGAATAAGAAGACTTTGTTCTATTCAAATAGATTCTTGAAATAATTGTCAGCCTGTTTCATATGTGATGAATTTTAAACCTGAAATCCTGTAATAATTTGATAGTGAGATGTAACTTTAACTTATTATTATTTTATTTTTCAGCCACTACCTTGATGGTTGCTCAGGACTGCTCCATACCTTCACCACCAGTGTGGACTGCATCATTTAGTGATGTTGTAGCTGGAACTGACATATCATACTCCAGTGTTGTTGCCACAAAACATAGTGCTTCCTCTCAAAAGCATGTTGTAAATTCTTCTTCCAGAGGTATTTTTAGAAAATTATTCAAAATATATTAAAACTACTATTATATAGTGACTTTGACTCGCCTTCCTACATTTAAGACCTAATATTTTACACACACAAATAACATAAAATAGATGCTGCTTGAATAGTTTTGTCACATTATGAACATTTAGTATTCCTATCTTCTATTTATTTAATTTTTTAATTTCCTTGTGTTCTAATTCTTGAAGACAAAAAATTATTATGAAACTCAACTCTTCAAATCTCTCTCAAACTACTGTAAAAAACAAAAAAAATAATAAATAAAAACTGCATCTAAAAATTTTTCTACTAAAGACAATTTAAAAAGACAAAACAAAAAAGAAACTGCATAAATTATGCCAAACTTCAAGAAGTAAAAAGATAATCAAGAATGTCAACCCACAGCTCTCATTTGAGAAATCTGGGGAAAAATGAGGGTGTCATTATGGCTTAGACAAAACCATCATTTAACTTTGATTTGTTTTGTTTAATATCCTGTGGAAACATTGTTGTTTTTCTCCAAACTTGTTAAACTTTTTGAGTATTTTCCAGAATTTTCATGCACAAAAAATTTCCTGATAACTTTAAATTTAGTAGGCTGAAGTTGGCTCATCTTCTCCTTCAACTGACGAACACAGTCTGTCTGTCACATTGTAATGTTCCAGAGTAGGAGTCGAAAATTCACTAGGTAATCTAAGATTTTGCCTGTGTACTGATTCGATAACACTTATATTGGTGTCCTCTCTGATAACTGTTCTCAGTCCGAAGAATACCATGTGAACCAAACCAATCCAATTGTCCACATCCAAATGGGCTACTCATCCCGATTTCAAGGATTATGCCGTCTCTCCATGCAAGTGTTTGGCTCGGATCTTATTCATTCCCAAGATTCACAAACAACTCTCTCAAACTGTTTACCCTGGCCGGTGGTCAATTTTGCCGGTACTTCAAATCTTAATATCCATCCCTAGTAGAATGCCTCGGCAATGACTTCAGATGTGATTTCTTCTACAGTTATTGTCTCAGGCCAACATGTAAAATGATCAATCATAGTTATCAAATATCACTTGCCTTTTGATGAGAAAAAGGAACAGACTCGAATTTACCAGTAGCAGTGACAGTATGCCTTACAACTTTTGCTTGCTGACACGGTATTCACGTCATCACTCTATCAGCAACATTTTTCTTAAGACTTGGCCAAAAATATTTCTGAGACAACTACTTGTGTAAAGTTCGTATTCCCGGGTGACTCAAGGTGTGGAGAGAATCAAAGATTTCCCTTTGAAGAGACTTTGGTATGTAAACTTGAGCTTGCTTCTGAGATGTCTTGTAGAGAATTGGTTCCTTTGATCAAGAAAGATTCAAAAGTTTTAACTGGAGGTTGGACTGTTTCTTCTGAGATCCCACTTCCGCGTCTTCCTTCTGTACAGTTGTTAATCTATCTAAATCGTTGTTAAGGTACACCCGATATGGAGAGTCGGCTATCTGGTTTTCTATCCCCTCCACATGTTGTATATCAGTAGACAATTGTGATATGAAATTTAACCACCTTATTCGCATTGGTGATGCGTATTTCTCTAGTGCATAGCAAATATAGGAAGCTTGTGATCTATCAGAATTATAAAGTTGCTCCCTTCAATCAACGGTCTAAAATGACATACCGCAGAATAAATCCCCATCATATGCTTAATAAGTTGCTTGTGCTTCTGATTATGACTGTTTAGGCAACTTTTACAATTATGGCAAAATAACTCGCTTGAGTTTCAATAAGGCAGCATTCTAATTTTTAAGCAAAAAAATCGCTTACCGTCTATGTGCAGCCTACATCTTTTTTACCTTGGAGGCCCCTCCACCGTTGGTCCTTGCTGGTCGAAAGCTTGTCAGTTAGTGGCCTCGAGACTTTGAGTCTCTCTTAAAGCTTGGCTCTTATGTATTATCTTTTAGATCTACCCCCACCATTCGCTGTAACGATGCAAATTTAAATCCCCATATCCCCCACCGTGAAATATCTCATTTCACAAAAAAAAAAAAAAGAAAAAACCAAACTCAGAGATTGGTGATTACCGAGCAAGGCACAAACGAGAGGAAAATTGCTTGCAATCTCTCTTTACAATAAAGAGAAAAATTAGGCTAATAATTTACAATTAACATAAAATAAAATGATTCCTCATTAAATTAAAAAAAAACAAAAAAAAAAACATACATATCAATAAAAGGTTTCTCCAGAAGGGAGAGGCACTAACTTGTGCACCGGCCGCACTAAAGTGGCTGTAGCAGTCCTCAATTTTACAACCCTAACTACACTGTCGGACCCTGAAAGTGTCTCTATTATCCTGGCAAACCGCCATTTCTGCAGTGGGACATCTTTTTCATGCAGAATTACTAGGGTTCCCTCCTTTAAATTTTCCCTATTCGTATACCACTTATTACGAGGCATCAGATTATGAAGGTATTCATTATACCACCTCTTCCAAAAATTACGAAGAGTCTTGGAATCAGCTCCCAACGACTTGTCAAAGGAAACACAGGTGCGTCTTCTTGTTCTGGTCTGGCTAGGAGTGGTTGACCTATAAGAAAGTGTCCTGGTGTAAGGTAATCTAGGTTATCCGATGACTGACTGCTAATGTTGCAGATAGGACGGGAATTGAGAACGGCTTCAACTCGTACAAGAAGAGTATAAAATTCCTCATAGGTTAACGTATGATTTAAAGCAGGTGTCTCTTCGCAGATTTAATGGCTGCCTCCCAAATACCACCGAAATGAGGAGATGCTGGAGGAGTAAATGTCCACTTTATACCCGTCTTACCCAAATAGTCAGAAATGGGTTCGCTCTGGCTCTTAACAAATTGATAAAGCTCCTTCAACTTCTTGGATACTGCAACAAAGTCACTATAAATATGGAATGGCAAACCGCATCTGGCAATGAATCTATGTAATGTGGCAATAAATGAAGGAGTGGATAGATCCGTCACAAGTTCTGGATGTATGGTCTTTGTGGACATGAATACAAAGAGAGCTAACCAACATTTTGACTTAGGAGCATTGCGCTTACTGGAAATCTTCATAATGAAGGGGCCGCCATAGTCTATTCCAACTTGCTGAAAGGAAGGACCTTCGGTCACCCTGAAAGACGGTAAGTCACTCATTTTTGGAGCCTGTGGTTTCGCATTATTTTTATGGCAAGTAACACATTTATAAATACGGCTTCTAACGAGTCTTCTTAGAGAAGGGATCCAAAATTGGCGATGAATGAGAGACTGGACCAACAGGGAGCCACCATGCAAAGAATACCTGTGGTAATGATCACACAAAAGGACTGTTAAATGAGAGTCTTTAGGTATCAGCAGCGGGTGCTTAGTTTTTTCTTCGATTGTTTAATACTGTAATCTACCTCCCACCCTGAGAGCTCTGTCCTTATCCAAAAATGGTGTGAGTCTGTTTAAGGAACCTTTATATGGTTTGCCACCTTCAAGACAATCAGTTAATTCAGAGAAGGATTTCCTCTGAATGAGTCTGACATAAATCATCAAGGAATCCTTAAGATGGTCTGCAGTAATATCATCTTGCTCCCTATCTTGACAACATTTAATAAATTTTAAAATGAAAGCAAAAACTCTTTGCAACTTTAAAAGGCTCGAATATTTCTCCAGGGAAATCAGCAAATTATTAGGTTTTTCAGCTGTTAAAAAAGATATTGTTTTTACCTCAGGCAGAACGGATGGAAATTCAATGTGGTAAATAGGCCAATGTGGTAAATATGTAGAAGGAGGTAACGAAATAAATGCCGGGTCATTCCAATAAAGCTCATGTGAAAGTATCTGGTGACCACACCAGTGAGGCCCCTCAATAAACAATCTGCTGGATTCTGTTTCGTAGGAATATAATGCCAACAATTAGGTTCTGTAACTTCCAAAATCTGCACCACATGATAGGCAACATAAATTTTAAGTTCATGTGGCGGTGTCTGTAACCAATAGAGTACGTTACGAGAATCCGAAAAACGGTAAACTTCTTCAATTTTTAAATGACTTAAGTTTACAAATACATGTAAGTAACCTGGAGGCAAGAAGAGCAGCATTTAATTCCAAACGAGGCACTGATTGAACCTTAAGTGGGGCCACCTTACTTTTTGCCCTTAACAAATGAATTTTGGTAGCTTCTCCAGGGCACCCAACTCTCAGGTAGATCACATACCCGTAACCCCTCTCGGAAGCGTCTGAAAAAGCGATTAGTTGCATTTGTGAAGGAAAATCTTCCACAATGAAGACACACTAGAAGGCAACTCATCATCCCAATCAACCTTAAGAAGCCACAAATGTTGTAATAGGCATTTAACAGAAAAAATGACGGGACTCATATATCCATTTATATCGAAAGTCTTGGCAATGAAGGATAGAATACCTTGCTTTGTAAAAACAGGCTCACATTCCTGTATTGAATACCTGAAATGATTGAGTTTAGGATCCCAGAACAAACGTAAAATCTTAACAGTCGAGGAATCTCCATCCAGGCACCAGGGAATTTCTGGACTACCCTCGGGTATAACAGGAAGTGCTTTATCGGAATTGCTGGAGAACTTTCTGAGCTCAAATCCACCTGCTCCAAATAAGGCCATCAACTCATTGTACAGATCCAGAGCCTCATCACTATTGCGAGCACCAGTGATTACGTTATCTATATAAATTTGGTCATGACACTGGGCAGCTTTAGGAAAATTATGGCCTTCTTCCCAAAATAGCTGTAGAATGACTCTCTGAGCAATAAAGGGAGAACATTTCAACCCAAATGGAAGGGTAACCAACTCATATTCCTGGATCGGCTGTGAAGACTCATTTCTCCAAAAAAAATGCAATAGGTTCTGATTAGTTTCAGCAATGCGGATACACCTAAACATCATTTTTATATCGCATGTCAAGGCCACAGCAAAGCATCTAAAATGATCTATAAGTTCCGCAATATCAATCTGGAGTTGCGGAAAGGTCAAAAGTGGCCTCGAGGCTTTGAGTCTCTCCCAAAGCTCTTATCTATTATCTTTTAGATCTGACCCCACCACTCGCCGTAACGAGGCAAATTTAAACGAAAACTCCTCTTTGGCACAACCAATGACTTTGAGTAAAAATCCAGGAGTTCCCAGTGTTTCCCTTCTCTTTGTTTTAGCATGGCTGCCATACAGCGATTTGATGTTTCACAAGCTAATGACATTTCCTCTTCTACTTTAGGATGTGCCAAAAGTGCTGCATCCTTCAAACCCTCCTTGCAGCATTCAAAATCTTGAATACTTTCCTTGATCCATTTTATTTTACTTTTATTGTTCTTCCTTGAACCACGAAGGTAAAGCTGAGAGATTTCTGTATAGCTGCAGCCTTAGGAATGCATGGAAAATAAAAATTAACAATTTCTAAGAACCTCAGAGCTCTCACATTTTTAGGCATAGGATAGTTTGCTATGGCTTGGACTTTTGCCGCTTTTAGTTGTATTCCTTCAGCAGTGATATGGTACCTTAAGAAATCTATCTCACTCTGACCTAATCAACATTTCTAGGAATTAATAGTAAGTCTGTTTTCACTCAACCTCTTAAATATGATAATATAACCATATACTTTTTGATAATTATCATTATTACTACGTATACCTAGTGATAAAACGTCTTATACTAATCAGTTTAAATAATAACTTTTATATTAACTTTTATTTCATTTTAACAATTTTAGACAACACATATAATAAACATAGTAACTCACATAACTTCTTGATCTTTATGTCTTTAAACTGTGTAAGTTTTTTATTTATAATGAATAATGAAGAAAAGACTATTTTATGTTTTTTCTACTTTGTGACTTCTACTACATCTCTTATTATTTTTTGCTAATTCCTAAAAAGTGTCCCTTCTCGATTTTATTTCATGATCTTTTATTGATCTTGAATCTTGATTTATTCTTCAATCTTTGATTTGTTCTT